GGGAGTAACCAAGACCTTGGAGCGAGTGAGAGAACGCTTCTACTGGTATGGTCAGCAGCATGACATCGAAGATTGGTGCCAACAGTGCGAAAAGTGCTCGAGGAGGAAGTCCCCACAGCAGCCAGGAAGAGCACCCCTTGTCAGCAGCTGTCCCGGTTACCCATTTGAGAGGATTGCTTTGGACATCATGGGTCCCCTACCAACAACAGAATCTGGTCAGAAGTACATTCTGGTTGTTGGAGACTACTTCACGAAGTGGACCGAGGCATTCCCACTCCCGAATCAAGAGGCAAAGACAGTCGCAGAAAAGCTGGTGAACGAGGTTATTTCCAGGTTCGGGGCACCTGAGCGTATCCACACTGACCAGGGCCGGAACTTTGAAGCCCAGCTGTTTAAGGAAATGTGTAACCTCTTCAGTATCGAGAAAACGAGAACAACTCCATACCACCCACAGAGTGATGGCATGGTTGAGCGCATGAACCGTACGATACAGGACATGCTGGCAAAATACGTCGCCGAGCACCAGCGTGACTGGGATGTTCACCTACCCATGGTGATGATGGCATACCGGTCCAGTGTCCATTCCTCTACCCAGTACACACCCCACTACCTGTTGTTTGGACATGAGGTACGGTTGCCCTTGGATGTTATGTATGGTCGTGAACCTCATCAGCCGGAAGCAGCCTCTGAGTACGCAAGGAACCTCAGATCCACCCTCGAAGAAGCCCATGAGAGAGCTAGAGAACACCTGAAGACTGCCCAGAGAAGACAGAAGGACTATTATGACCGCCGCGTCGCTGGAGACGAGATAAAGGTTGGAGATCATGTGTACCTTCATTTTCCTGTAATCAAGTCAGGACGGACAAAGAAGTTGCATTCGCCATGGCATGGTCCACACGTGGTGGTAAAGAAGATCAGCGATGTAACGTACCGGATAGAAGAAGTGGACAACCCCAGAAAACGGCGAGTAGTACACTTCAATCGACTGAAGCTGTGTGGCGAGCCACGACAGAGGGCCCAGCAACCTGATCAGCCTACTGGCCAGCCTTCCAGTTTGCCAGTGCAGAGACCTCATCTTCCCCCTCGCTATGTTCCGGATGAGACTGACCTCATGTATGCAGACGGTACTGCAGCTGACGGGAACGAGACATTAGCACGAGCTGAGGAAGAGGACTCCACAGAGGCAGAAGTGTCAGCTCCAGAACCAGTAGCTGAAGTAGTGCCTCCCCCTGTTGTAGACAGACCAAGAAGAGAAGTTCATGCTCCTGCTTGGATGAGAGACTTTGTTTCTTAATTTTTGAATGAACTTTGATTAATTTTCTTACTGTAGCTGCAATCAGAGTTAATATTTGTTTTGCTATAGTGGCTGTACACCCAGTGATTTATATTTTGCTTTAGAATCCAGTAGTTTTCCTTTCCTTTGTTGCATGGCATGGGGACATGCCCTTTTCCAAGGGGGGGATAGTGTAGTAAAGTTAAAGAATTCGTGACACTTTGTACAATGAATCGTGACTAGTTAATCTTAAGTGAACAATAGATCAATTACTAGCTTGATAGGAACCGGAAATATGATCCCTATTGTGTAAGCAAGCGTGCAAAAATGTGCAGCGTGTAAAGTAGGTAGTTAGATGTGCCTTCCGATCGGAATAGCGTAAAAGCTACAAGCTACACCCTTTAAACTGATAGGATTTTGTGTAGGATGGAATGATTACTCAAACCTAGCCGCTCAGGATTTACGTAAGTAATGTAGGTGTAATAGTGTTTTAAGCTTTCAATCGAATTAGGGTGTTTACTAGAAAGGAAACCACACGTATTCCCTACGATATTTTCCCACGTATGATTTAGCTACCAATATGTATAAAAGTACCTTGATTTAGCAATAAACGATGAATATGAATGTGATCAGGACTTGAGTGTTTACAAGTCCCTTAGAATACTGATAGCCCGAAACCGGCCAAGTCTAGAGATACTCAAGCAGTCGACACTTATCTGTTGGCCACGAAATCAACTCCCGTTTACAACATATCTTTCGTTGTGAAATAACGTTAATTTGCAAAGATTTCACACATGGCTTGCTCCAGTTTATCAAGGAATTTTAATAAGTTCAGACTTAAATTTGAAAGATGAAATGAAGTTGAGAGCTCACTTTTTTCATGTTTGCCTGTTGAAATCGTGAAAATAAAACCCTGCAAAATGCTATCTCGCCAAAATCGCGAAATTACAGTACCAATGAGGTATTTTGTGTGAAGTTAACGTATAATGAATGCAGGTACCTTTCCCCTGAAAATGGTGCTGATGAAAGGGTAAAAGGTTGGACCTCGGGGCGGAGCCTTCCCGTATGAAGCTTGTACTTTGTTTTTGTTTCAATTAGAAATTTTACAGAACAATTCACTATTGTAACCATAATAAGTAAGGTACTCCGTAGCGCTATGTCAACAAGAGTCGAACAAGAGTGACGTGGCACGTCATAAACACGAATGGAATGTGTAGAAATGTGAGTTGTTTTTACGATCTAACAGTGATCTGAGAGCAAATCAGCAGCAGGTTTCATTTTGAACTTTTCAAGCCGTTTGCACATTGACATTACTAAGATGAATAATTCTGACGGTGAGTTTTTCCCACGTTGTTCAGTGTTAGTTATTACCCGTAAATGTCGCGTGCGTCTCGCAAAGCCGACTTGTCAAAGTTCAACTGGTGGCTGACGTCTCTACGTACACCCGGTCAGAATATTGATTTTATGAGATTAATAGGCATTGACCTAATACAGTAAATATGATGAGCAAGCTAAGGAGGTTCGGTTTTCTATGAAACTAAACTGGCTGAGGCTATGTTAGTCAAGACCTGAATCAAGCGGATTCCTCTTAGAAATAATGTACTGACCAGCCGTAGAATTCGCTGGGTGTCCTCTTTTTAAAGGTTTCCTTTATCATTTCAAGCTGTTTGTACGATAAAGACCGCTGTTTTTGTCTTTGACGGAACAATGAATGACTCTGATGGTAAGTTTTTACCAACACTCTTTGTCGTCTTAAAGCCTCTTTACTGAAAACAGGCGTCAGTGGAAAAAAAAAGTTTTAAGACTGATGGAAGAAGGCAAGTCCAATGTTTCGATTATTCATTCAGATCTGAGTGGTGACCGTCAGTCATTCAATCAAGGCTTTTTTTATAAAGCAAACTGTTTAGGACTATATTTCACATTAAACCAAAAATAGACGAAGAACAAATTTTGAGGAACAGAATTGGGTACCCCTGAATTGCTTCAAATGTTTTAACATATACCGATAAACCAATTATACACGAAATTATGCAGAATTCCTAATTGCTTCAAATGTTACTACCGATGGAACTCATAGTGTGTCGGAAAGAGTTAAGTTTTGGGTTTCTCGAGATCAGATATACGGTGTGCTCGACAGCTCGTCGTTATTCTGTTTTTTTTTTTCTCCACAAATTAAGGGTGGAGAACACCTTAGAAAGACGGATACTGGAAGGTCAGTACTGCAATACAACATTAACATAACTTATGAAGAAGAAGATGTTTTTTTTACTGAGTAAAAATGCAAGGGAACAGGGCATAAATTTAAACCAACAGGCTGTTAGGCGTGCTCGACATTTTTTCGGTCAAAGCAGGACCAGGCCGTATAAATCATTCGTTCCGCTTGGCAAATCACGTCTACAGCTTACGACCGAAAGTGCTTTTATCGTTCGGTTTTATCGCTGTAAGAACAAGATCTTTTAATTTGATTACTGGCGGGTAATGTCACACACCGTTGGCCTCACATAATGTTCACACAAATAAGTCATTCTAGTACATTTAAAACAATACACATAATAACTGATGTGGTGCAATGAAACAAAGCCCTTAATCATGCTATTAATCCTGTTTGTTCAAACTCTCAATTATTGTGTCGGTACTTTTATTTTTGATTAGTCTCATTAGTAAAATCGCACTATTTTTAAGCTTCAGGCTTTCCAAAATGACACAGGGCAAGTTGTTCACCTCACGGTTCTCATTAACAACCTGTCCTTGAATCATAACAATAAAATACATGAAACTCACATGTTCAGATCTGTTCAGTCTGTGGACGAAATATTACGGGGCTAACTATTCAATTGAAACCTTTCCAGCGGTACTTTTGTACAGAAATATTGCTTCTCGGTATTTTATATATTATATTTAAAAAAAAAAGATTCCGGCAAAAATAGGCAATCGACTTTGGGTTCGTGCAAATACTAGATACGCTAGCTGACCTAACTAACAGTCGTAGTTTTTTTAAGTAAAAAAAAAGATAAAAAGATTACTCTAGAAATTGTCCAATAATCTCCGAACCACAAGTAGGTCATGACAGATCCTTGATCTTCTTTTGGCCCTCCTAAAACATTAACTAGCACACTTTACGATAAATTATTGTTCATTGCTAATAAAATATTACTAATGAATTGATTGAGCTGAAATCAACTGGCCATGGATCCTTTTTCCGTCCTCACATTATTTCTTGACTTTCTTGGCTAGTAACAACTCGCTACACTGTAAGAGAGGGGCCAGGGGATCCTTACCTCCCGCCTCTCGTACCTTTCATTCCCGACTCCCCACTCCCCCCCCTACACTTTTCTGGTTAAGCGATGTTGCGCCATTCCCCTACATTTCTCCCCCTTCCCCCCCTCTCCCGTCTACCCTACCCCTCCCACCCCCGTGTTTTCCCCCATTACACTTCTCTGCTGTTGTTGAAAACTGATATTGAACAGTGGCTAGACTTGTTACAAGTTTCACTCAGAAAAGCTGCAAAGTATAAGGCGGAAAGCCGAGCTTCGGATCAAAACACCTCGATCCAAGACGCAAAGGCACGTACCTGGTTCGTGCTAGTCAAAATTTTAAACTGTATTCAGTGTTTTTTGCTTTGATAATGCAGTTGTACCTTTCTTGCGTGCTTTCATAACTAAATAAGAATCGGCCAAAAGTGAAAAATCACGTTTTTAATTGTTTACAGATTACAGGAACCTTAATAATGGACTACTTTAAATTTGTTTCTTCAGATACTCCAGTTGGATATACAAAAGCGCAGAGAGCTGTGTCGGCGGCATTGTACTCCATAACAATTCCAGTAGCTTTGACAGGAAATCTTCTTTTGATTTTCATTGTGACGAGGAGGCCTAAGACGAGGACGTTAACTGGGTTTCTCTTTGTAAACATGGCTGCCGCTGACCTATTAGTAACGTTGGTCGATATGCCATCTGCGATGGCAGTCCCTTATACGAGCATACAATGGCCGCCAGGTATTATGGGAGACATCACGTGCAAGGCAGTATACTTCGGTTTCTTTGTTGCCATAACAGCATCTATTTTAAGCCTTACACTCATGTCAGTGGATCGTTTCTTAGGAGTAGTCTATCCGCTCCGCCGGTTTCCACGATTTCGAAACGCACGACTCCTAAGTTTCATACTCTGGCTAAGTTCGATGATCTTTATGATCCCAGTGGCTATTTTGTGGAAGGTTACAGATCAATTTAAACCTGGGAAATTCCAGTGCTTTGCCTCTTTTGGGGATCTGCTCGGAGATTACAAAAACGATATAACATTTCTCTACACGTATCTTTTCTTTCTCAAATACTTTGATTCCACTTTGCCTGATAACAGTACTTTATGGCCTCGTTTCTCGCAAACTTTGGCGGCATAAAGTTCCAGGTGATCGCTTAGTTTCAAGAGATTTCGACTCAAAACGTCGCCAGGGAACAAAGAAAATTGTGCGCACACTCGTCGTTGTCACCGCTGCCTTTGCAATTTGCTGGCTCCCAGCACAGTCTTACTATCTTACCTTAGCTTTTAATTTTGAACTTCATGACCGTCTTCCTCGATTTGTAATGTTCGTGTGCAACTGGTGTGGACATTCCAACAGTGCCGTCAATCCATGGCTGTACATGTTATTATCTAAAAAATTTCGTAGAGTCCTAAATGACATGATGTATAAAGTATATTTGAAAATTTACTTAACATTATCCCATCCGGATCCCAACAGGGAAACCTGCGTGTGAGTCACAAGTAAGTACCCTCCGACCCTGTGTCCTAGCCAGCAAATACAGACGTCTCTCTTCGATCCCCCTGGAGGGGGGGGGGGACTCCGCATATGAAAGGGGTGGGGATGCTCGTCGGAAATTTTGAACCCTAAGGAGACCGATCTGGGCGAACCCCAAGCTTTTTTTGACCCATAAAAGTGACGACGTTGAAACACAGACAATATATACATATTTATATTTTTCTAGCGCGACCCTAAACGAGACCTTCACGGCTAAATATGATGGCGTTTTGTCCAGAACACCCTAAGTGAGGCCAAAATCAGAAATTTACATCCCTAAGCGAGACGAAGAGCATCCCCACCCCTTTCATATGCGGACTCCCTCTCCCGGGTTCGCCCCTCGCCGCCAAAGACGTTTCGAGTGAGAGAAGTCAGCGATTCGGCCCCAAAAATTCCACAGTGATGAACTGAATCAATGTTTACATGATTAAGCTGGTAGTCATGGGGTTTCAGATGAAAAATTGTTCGAGTTTAAGTTTCTCTTGATCTATTATCGTTCTGCGAACGGGCAGCAGCAAAACTCATCAGTATTAAAGTTTTGGCGCCACATCGCAGGCGTCTCTCCCACGAAAGAGCAAGAAGAGAAGGTTGCATTCGTACGCTTAAGTGGCGCTCTAAATTTAATTCGCGTCATGAGTTCTTGTAGTTTTTGTTGTACCTTCTTGTAGATCTATAGATAGTTGCTCAATCATCAGCCACACAATGTTTCCAGTATTTTTTTTGAACGATGTTAATACTTACGTAAAGTTTATAAAATGGAGGGTCGTATCTCAGAGAGGATAACTAGTAAAGAGGAAATACCCCATTCGCCAATAAGGCCCTTTGTAGCTAGCCATTCGCGACGGAGTTACAAAACCGCCATGTAGGAGAGAAGGAGACAAGACAAGCAAGATGACAAGATGACCCTTTGTTTGTCTTGTCCTAGTGCTTCAATTGCTCTCCAGCATGGTGGTTTTGTACCACGTGAATTACTAGCTGCAAAGAGGCTACCATGATGGTCCCCACGTTTCTAAAAAAAAACTAAGCAAAACTTCAGTGGCAGCACCATGGCAAATGTCAGTTTTATGAGCCCGCTGTCGTTGTCGCCGGGGGTGTGAGTGAATAGTCGTGATTTAATTAATCCGGCCTACATGTACGAAAGGAAGGATTTCAAACCGGTGTAACTACCCTGGCAGTATCACTAGACATGGCAAGTTCTGACAGAGCAGTTTACCTCTTTATTTTTTAAAAGTCATTTGTCCATCCAAGACCTTCCTCTGATATGGTGAGTTTTTTCACACGCCGTTCAGTCACGCTTGTCACTCGATCGTAGCCCATGTAGCTTACGTCTCACGGAAAAGCATACGAATCATGGTTCAATTAATAATAATAATAATAATAATAATAATAATAATAATAATTTTATTTATATAGCCCTAAAATCCAATAATTATCCAAAGCGCTACCTAATTCCAAAATAGAATATAAAAAATCTAAATTAAAAAATATCTACAATATACAATGTAATTCAAATATAGCCTAAGTTATCTACTATATAAATCAAAAGCATCTTAAAACAAAAGGAATCTCATAACCTATATGCTAACTTAAATAAAAAAGTTTTAAGGGATTGCTTAAAAGTTGCCACTGAAGCACTTTTCCTAATCTCTAGAGGTAAATCGTTCCACAATTTAGGTCCTGCAATAGAGAAAGCTCTGTCTCCATATGTTTTCAATCTGCTTCTTGGAACCACTAAACATTCTTTACATGAAGAACGCAATGACCTAGAGTATGTTTTAAAATTCAAAAGGTCAGAAATATAAGAAGGTGCAAGGCCATGAAGGGCCTTGTATACCAATAAAAGGACTTTAAAAGTTATCCTAAACTCAACAGGTAACCAATGAAGATTAATTAAAATAGGAGTTATATGAACATGCTTCGGTGTCAACCGTGACAACACGAGCTGCAGCATTCAGAACTGCCTGTAGTCTAGCTAACAGATACTTAGGAAGGCCATGTAATAAGGAATTACAGTGATCAAGTTTCGAACTAATAAATGCATGGACTAAGATTTCACATGTATCTTGGCTTAAGTACTTGCGGATTTTAGCATTTAATTGGCGGGCATATACAGTATAGGGCTGACGTCACAGACCGCAACCAGACATGAATACAGAAAAAGATTAAGATACAAAAATCATGAGAGAAATTCTATGTAACCTAACGTGCCGCGCAACAAGAAATGCGACTTTCTTCAAATGAAATGTAACTTAACTGACGACATTATAGAGTACCCTGCATCCAGCCATGATCCGTAGGTGTCTGCATGATAGGCGAGGTTCCCATGCAGGTTAGTCGCTTGTGCCGCATATAGACCGGGGTGTATGTCGATGGAAAACAATGAATGAATCCGATGGTAATTCTTTTTCAGTTTCTGCCAACATTGTAAAGATTGATTTAAGTACCGATTAACATGAAACTTAAGAACCTAACGTAGCAGGTTAAACTTAACGCAGTCTGATATTTTGATGAAACAATCACAAAATCAAGTCGAATCCAAGCAAAGTGAGTGTTCCTTCGAGGTATAACTTTTAATAATTGTACATTTTACAAAGGCATACCTATGGCCTATTACGAAAGATGGCCCAGTATATGAACTAACTTATTCAGAATTCCTATCCTTTGTCCATTCCAATGAAAGCTCTTTGACGTTCCTATTGTCACATTAAATTACGTTTAAGTTTCCTGCACATTCACTCTTCAGGGTTCATCATTCATACAGACCGCGTCGCATTTTCAATAGCCTTTGTACAGACTCCCGATTTTTCCTGAGGAGAAGGGGGGAACCGTACACAGCCTACATTTCAATTGCTTCTTGACCGTTGATTCTAATTGGCCATTATTCTGAGTTTGAGTGTGAGACTGGTTCGTCTTTTTGCGAATTGCATTATGGGACTCTTTTGAGGAAGTTATCGCTTCTTTCATTGGCTTTCACGAGGTTGGGCGGGAAACTGGGTCAAAACAGTCCCACCGTGCAATTCCCATTCTCGTCCCCAGATCCTCCTGGGGGCCTGAGCACGAGGACCAGTAGGCTCTGGGGACGCAAGATTTGAAGTCCTAGATTTTAGGTCATTAGAAATGACCGGAAGGCCTAAAATTCTGTGTCCCCAGAGCCTCCTGGTCCTCGTGCTTTGGCCCCCAGGAGGCTCTGGAGACGAGAATGTGCAATTCCACACCACACGGACCCAGTCCCACCCGCAGCCGCGAAGTGCATCTTTTTGTAAAAAAAAAAAAACTAAAATCAAAACCAAAAATTAAAAAAACGAACACTAGGTCGATAAGTCTTTTAAGGTCCAGGATTTCGCTTAAAAAGTTACTCCTCGTCCAGTAACAGGCTCGGTGCAGTGCTTCAGGATCTTGTTGATTCTACAGATCGCTCGTGGTTTTATTTTCCGGTATAACACTCATCAGTTTTAAGCCTTAATTATCCCTTCTTTGGTGCTTATCTATTTCACCTCGCCAAATTAATTTTTTTGGTCTCCCCCGGGGCATTCTCTCAAGGGGATTTAAAATGTTGCAAAAAATAACTTAAATATGCTTAATTTATTTTCTGATTGATAATTACATTTACTTCGCGATAAATCGACAAAAACGAGACGAGGCTTTGTGTAATAGAAGTCTGATCGGCGAAATAATTATTTTTTTTACCTTCTAAAGTCAACAAACGTTGATTCCTTCAAACACATTGCCCATTTTATTTACGTGCCTCAACAAGAAGGTGCCAGATATGTATTTTGAGGGTAAACAAAATGTATTTTGAGGTTAAACAAAATTGCGGACAATATATGACTGTCGAATAAATTAAACATATTGAAAAAAGGATACGAGGCAATTTTAATTGAGTGAGATTTAATTTAAACGAAGGAATAAAATCCTTTCAAAGAACTGTCTATAAGTTAAAGAAAAAACAAAACACCTCCACTCTCGGTTGACAATGGTTTGTGACGTGACCTGCGGTTCTAATTTTCCTCTGTTCTCAGTGTTTTTGTCACGTATCTGATTTTGGTATTATGTACGCTGGGCTGTGTTAAAACACAGTTCGGTTATGTAACTTTAGGAGCCTCAAAAAGGGTACAGGTATTTCAGAGCTGGATGAACAGTCACACCTGTAAACCTGGCAAGATACATCAATCATATCATAGTGGTTTAGAAGTTCAATTTGCTCTCGTCTTCCCATGGGTCGCAGGTGCTGAATATACAATATCGCCAAAACGAGTTTCCACTCGTACCGAAGCGTGCCAATATGCAAAGCGGGGATATAATTACGCCAAACATTTCACGGTTCGCCTTATAATCACAGATATATTTTGTGATCTATATCGTATGTCCAAGATCACCCGATCGGAGACGTTGATGCAACAATGAATTTAACTCCTGATGGTAAGTCGCTCGCTATTTCAATGTGACCAGTTGCATCTGCAGTCGCACTTTGTTCAGCGAAAAAGTTGTTTACAGATCTTAATACATCGAAGCCATCATTAACTGATCTTACTTAGACCACTAACAGCTAGAATAGTTGTAATACAGTAAGGAGACTTCAATGAAACATTCAATAACACTGAATT